CCCATTTTATGAGGAAAATTTTTAAATTAGAAGGGAAAATCATAGGCCTTTAGGCTACTCAAGGTCTTCACTCTATTATAGAAAGTTTACAAAATTTGCTTTTATATGAGAGTTTTGGATAGCTTTCAGCATCAACCATGCGTATCAGTTGGGCACAAACTCCCATCTAGAGAGGTATAAAAGCTTCCACACCCATCAGCTATCCACAAGGGTTAGCTCGCAACAGAGATGACATCATTTTATTCTAGGATTTTCAAGATTTAGTGTTAGAAGAGAAGAATACTAAAAGCTTATTTGAGATCATTTTTTTATGTTTTTTTTTATTTTAAATAACATGTTTTTTAGAGTTGTTTTTATATATTTTTATTTTTTAATTCTAAAAATAGATTAACATGTTTTTCAGAACTATAAAAATAATTTTTAGGTGTTTTGAGTGTTTTTGAAAACAATTATATCTTACCCAAATATGTAAAAAATATTTTGTTTTAAACCAATACTTAAAAGAAATAAAAAAAAAAATACGGAAGTAATCCCAAACTGGCCCCTAAGTGAATAAAAATGTTGGAAATTGAAGAAAACTAGAGAATTATATTTTCCTATTTCTCAATCATCAAATTACAACTCTTCTTCCTTTCTAATAAGGAACAAATAGGACAAACTTAATTTCAACCTTTCCAAAAATAAAAAAAAAAATCTCAAGAAGGAAAAAAATATGACAATAAAAAGAGAATAGAGGAGAATAAAACTAAAATTGGAAACTTAAAATTCCATGCACCCCCTCAACTTGGATCATAGATATTGTAAAGGCTCGACTTGGTATTCAAAGCAGTGAAGTTGCCTGAAAATAGAGATTTAGCGAAAATTTAAGCTACTCGAATATGAGTAGGAATGTAGATTATGAGAATAGTACTTCCGTTGACTTTTTTAGAGATTAAATGTCTATCAATCTCACTGTGTTTGGTTTTATCACGATGTACAAGATTCTTTACAATACTAATAACTGTTTGGTTATCATAGAACATATTTATGGGATTGACTGTGGAGTATCTCATCTCACTTATTAACCTTTGGATTCACATTCTTTAACATTGCCGTTGTCGGTCCCAAGCCCGGATGAGAAAAGTGGAGGGTTGCGTTAGGTAGTCGACAACCAGCGTAAAACTTGTCGAAAAAATCATGACATGAATCCTTTTGATCATTGTGTAAGTGCTAGGGCGTCCCCTGGAAGCGACGCGCTGTATAGCCTGAATACAGTGATAAGTGTGCAAGGGACGCTACACCGGCGCCCGGGTGTAGTGTTAAATAAGCAAGGGTTCCCACATTACGGGCGAATGCGGGTAAAGAAGTTAGTCCATGAAACTAATGAAACTAATATTAGGATAGGATCTTGGAATATAAGCACTCTCAATGGTAAATTAATGGAATTAGTTGATATTATGATTCATAGAAAAATTAATATCTTATGTATTCAAGAAACTAAGTGGGTGGGAGAAAAGGCTAAGGAGATTGATAATTTAGGTTTTAAACTTTGGTATTCTGGTAAGAGTCGCACTAGAAATGGTGTAGGTGTAATTATAGATAAGAGTTTGAAAGATAATGTTGTAAAAATTAATAGAGTTGGTGATAGAATTATAGCCCTTAAGATTATCATTGATACTAAGATTTTTAATATTATAAGTGTTTATGCTCCTCAAGTAGGTTTAGATACAGAGTCTAAAGATAAATTTTGGAATGACTTAGAAGACTTAATACAAATGATACCTCTTGAAGAAAGAATTTTTATTGGAGGAGATTTAAATGGACATGTCGGTAGAGTGGTAGAAGATTTCAGAAATATTCATGGTGGCTACAATTTTGGAGTAACTAATGAAGAAGGTAAAGTTATTTTAGATTTTGCTTTAGCGTTTGATTTTGTTATTACTAATACTTTATTCAAGAAAAGGGATGAACATCTTATTACTTATAAGAGTGGATCTAATAAAACACAAATTGATTATTTTCTTATGAGAAGAAGAGATCGTCG